GCAGTATTGTCCTGTGCCAGAGTAGATAAATAGCAATGATTTTAAAAAAATTAAATAACAAAAATTGATAAAATAAAAAACCCTATTTTTTAAAAAAATAAATGTTTGGTTTCAATCAGATCCAACTTGATCTGTGCATAAAAATCCAGCTGCAGAACCTCAAACTGGAAGTGCCTTCTGTATTCCCAGCCATGGGGTGTGCCTGTCTTGCTTCCAGATTCGAGACTTGTTGGCCAGCTCTGGTGAAGGATGCTCACGGGGTCGTCGTGGTCTTCAACCCTGGCTTGCCCAGCCACGTGAAGGAAATCGAGATGTGGCATTCGTACTTTGTCCAGCAGCAGCAGCTGCTTGAGAGCCAGTGCTTGCTCATTGCCCATCGCAAGCCAGGCAGTGGGGGAGACCCAGAGAACCTCAACTTGCGTAAGGCCATCAAAGTTTTTATTCCTTAACAATGTATTGGGTTGTTTCCTAAGAGGTAACCTTTTTAGTTTGTTTTGGCATGTTGGAGAAGAAGAAAAAAGAATGGACAGGGGAATGGACAATATATTGTGGGATCTTAAAAGATTAAGTTCTGTGTGAGCTGCTGTGGATATACAGTATAGGGTAAATAAAATCAATACTAAAAACACGTTCAATGCAGTTAAGGTACAACAATCCATTTTAAAAACCTCACTCAGGCAAGCCAGTCACTCAGGGAAAGCCTTCCTGAAGAGAAAAGTCTTGGCCTGCTTGCAGAAGGACAGCAAAGACTGGGCCAGCCTGGCCTCCAGTGGGAGGGAATTCCAGAGTCTCTGGGAGCAGCCACAGAGAAGGCCTTGTCCTGTGTCTCCATCAAACACAACTGTAAAGGTAGTGGGATGGAGAAAAGGGCCTCTCCGGATGATCTTAACACTTGAGCAGACTCATGGAGGGAGATGCAGTCCTTTAGTATTAATGATGCATGTGCCTTTGTCCATCCCCCATATTCTCACTGAGTCCTAACCTTGCCATAATGGGGGAAATGGACAAGCACTCCATGAGTCTGTGGCAGTGCATTTTGACCCGCAAAAGGTCACACACAAAAAAAACAAATCTCTTCCTCTTCTAGCTGCCATCGTAGTTTGTCCATTTCTCTCTTGCTTCTTTGACAACACGGGGGGTGTGGCGTGTCTCTCTGAGCAGACCTTCTAATAATGCTTTGCCCCTCTCCATCTTTGAAGCTTCCCCACTCAACAGGTTGCAGCTGATACACTCCAGCCTGGAAGAAGACCCGGAGGACATCCGGATGGAATTTATTAAGTACCTCAAGAACGTTACCAACTTGGTGAACGAGAACAGAGACCGTGAGGAGATGCAGATTATCAAAGACAAGTAGGAGAAAGACAGTAAATAAGACAAGAAGGGGGAAACCCCCACCACCACCCTGATCTCTCTCTTTCTCTGTTTTTTTTTTAAAAGCATGAACTTAACATACCCACAATTAAACATGACGTTTTAGCCCCGTTTGTCTTTGGAAGATATGAATTGTGGAAGTGGCCGTGTGAGGGGACGCAAGCATTCAAATGTCCTGCATTCTGGGAAAATAGCTAAGGACAGGTCTTCTGCAGTCTAAGATCTCACATGGCTTGAGATGACCCAGTAAAGGGTCTTCCCCCCTGTCAGGGGTGCTCCACAGGCAGTTCATTCAAGGTGAGATGCCTGCCCTCCCAAGTTTGGTCTTCAGTCCACCACTTGGTGGTGCCGAGCACCAAAATGAAAAGCCATCTCCTTCTGCACTCCTCCTACGCCGCTTACGTTCCTTGCAACGAAGTGGGCAGAGAAGGCTTTGCTTGGCCGTAAGAGCTGTTGTCTCCTATGTGAAGCCCTCTAAGAGCCTCCCATTCAATTCTCCTTTTACATCATTCCATGCGCTTGGTCCAGTGGCATCTGGATGCAGAAGGACCATGATGCTGGGGGCCTTTCTCGTCGATTCCTAGGGGGCAGCAAGAGTTGAAGAAAACCTTCCGGCGAGGGGACTGTAAGAAACGAAAGAAAGCTAAGAAATGGGGAAGTCCACAAAGAGGCCGCCGTGGCCAAAACTATAGTGAAGGCAGCAAACCAAAGACAGTTGCATCGTCAATGGGTGGATGAGAGTAGCTGTTCTAGAGATCAGTGGTTCAGTATCCGCTGATTCACTTATCTACGGAAAAATTCCCTAAAATATCAGTGTATTTAAGCACTTAACCGCTGTGGTATGGGAACCCTTGAGAAAGGGTGGGTCGGTGGGAATTTATACAAAAAGCCAGGAAAGGGCTAAGAAGGCAGGGTGACCTTTTGAGAACCCCAGTGGTTGTTCTGAGGGGACCCTGGATTCTCCGTCACATTGCATAGAGTTGACAGCATGTCATCCTGTGTGCATTTACTGAGATCTCCTGTGCGCATTTACTGAGATCCCACAGAGACTCGGGACCAGCAGCCTGCAGTCTTAATGTCTTTGGCGGCTCTGTTAGGAGGCACGCTTTGCTTGGAGTAACTGGGGCGCTGATCTGGAAACGGATCCGCCGAACCCGCCCGAGATGCGTCGCTGGGTCTGAGCAAAGGGCATCGATGGCTTGACCCTAGTATTGACTGAGCTACATTTCCCCATGAAGGTGGGGGCTGTCTTCTGAGGTTTAAACCCCGGGGGGGGGGCTTTAATACTCTCACCCCTACAACGCACTGCCTCTGGACAGGGAGGTCAGTATCATCCATCGACCCATGGATTCCTGGGGGAACCCCAGTCCTTTATGGGTTCCCTCCGAAGCAACATCCAGTGACTCCCCCCCCCCCCGCCGCTGTCTTGGGGTCCCTTCAACCCCATACTTGGTTTGCATCCATCGGGTTACTCCAACCCGGGTTGCCCCCCTTCACGTCAGGACGCTCTGGCCTGAAACCCCAACACCACCACCACCACCCCGGCCTTCCTCAAGAGGTCTCTTCGCGACACGTGTGGACCCCTTCTTCCTCATCCCTAGGCGGGGTGGGTGTGGGTGTGTGAGAGAGGAAGACGCGTGTCATCCTCGGGTCGCTCGCTCCCTCCCTCTCTCCCCCCTCCCCTCCGCCGGCCCGGCGCATGCGCAGCGCCTCCCCTCTCCCGCCGCCTGTCAGGATGAGGCGGCCGAGCGCGCGGGGCTGCTTTGCGCCTTCGCCGCCTCACGTCGCGGGCCCGGCCTGGGCGGCCTGACCGGCCAGCAGAGACCCCCCCCCACACCCCCTCCCTA